ACTCCGTCCTTCCATGGGTCTCTTCAATCTTGTAAACAGAAAATAATCACAAGTGGTAAATCTGGTGAATACGGTGGCTGAGGCATGATTACGGTGTTGTTTCTGGTCAAAAAATTACGATAAATCAATGAAGAGTAAGCAAGTGCATCATCGTGATGCAAAAGCCATGAATTATTTTTCCACAACACCGGACGTCTTCTTCGAATGCTCGTTGCAAGCGACGCATAACTTCAATATAATACTCTTTATTGACCATACGACCATGTGGTAAGAACAACTGATGCACTACGGCACGGTAATTGAAGAAGGCAGTTATCAAAACCTTTATATTCGATCGACCTTGGCGTGTTGTTTTTGGTCTTGGCTCTGCTGGGCTCTTCTATTGGGACGATTGCAAGTCTGGATCGCCATTGACATCATTCAGCAATTCCTGCGACGGTTTTTTTTATCATAAATCATCAGTTTTGAAACGAACTTCGATACCACACGCTCAATGCCCAAAATTTCTGATATCCTTAGCAACTTCTCTAATAGTGATTCGACGATTCTCTATAACAGTTTTCTCTACCTTTTCAACATTGGTTGTTTGTAATATTCGGACAATGCCAAACGTCAACAGCATTGGAGGACAAGTAATGATACGCCTCTGTACAGAGCATTCGTATGTCTTGCAAGAGCTGTAGTGTAGCTAATATTGACATCACGTTTGGCAATTGCTGTACAAACCTGTAGCTAGGGATTTAAATATACGGTGAACAGGCATTTATCTACGAATTATAACGGTTTTTAGAAAACGTATCACACTGTATAAAGCCACTCACTTCACCATTAAAAATAGATAGCTAAACGGCCAAATCTCATAAAAATTGTATCCAATTGGGTCATTCCATGTTGAATCAAAGACCTTTACTCCGTCCTTCCATGGGTATCTTCAATCTTGGAAACAGAAAATAATCACAAGTGGTAAATCTGGTGAATACGATGGCTGAGGCACGATTACGGTGTTGTTTCTGGTCAAAGAATTACGAACAAGCAATGAAGAGTAAGCAGGTGCATCATCGTGATGCAAAAGCCATGAATTATTTTTCCACAACACTGGACGTCTTCTTTGAATGCTCGTTGCAAGCGACGCATAACTTCAATATAATACTCTTTATGGACCATACGACCATGTGGCAAGAACTCCTGATGCACTACGTCACGGTAATTGAAGAAGGCAGTTATCAAAACCTTGTTATTCGATCGACCTTGGCGTGTTGTTTTTGGTCTTGGCTCTGCTGGGCTCTTTATTGGGACGATTGCAAGTCTGGATCGCCATTGACATCATTCAGCAATTCCTGCGACGGTTTTTTATCATAAATCATCAGTTTTGGAACGAACTTCGATGCCACACGCTCAATGCCCAAAATTTCTGACATCCTCAGCAACTTCTCTAATAGTGATTCGACGATTCTCTATAACAGTTTTCTCTACCTTTTCAATATTGGTTGTTTGTAATAACGTAATAACCAATTCGAAAGTACCCCGATCCGGGAACGAATTCTTTCACCGTCAAAAGCGGAAAAATCGATTAGATGAAATACACACCTGCATGTGCATAGTACAGTAACTGTTCTCTGTAATTTGTAGTTACATTCCCACTGATTGTGTTCGTCACGGAACATAGAAAGGGCAGGCAGTGTCTTCAACATTGGCATTGTTCAAATTAGCTTGGATGTATACATTGTGACGTAGTTCCTTGAATTGATTAAAACTCCCACAATGGGAAATTTCCATATTTGTCCCCCGCACCGGATAGTAATTTTTTCAGCTCATTATTTTCCTTCATGAGGAGTGAAAATGAAAATATAGAGATCTGTCAATGATTTGGAAAAAACATAAAATTCAACTTCAACTCTTCCGGGATATAAAATATCACCACCATAGAATTTGAATTTCGAACCAAAGAAGTTCACAATGGTTCTCAGGATAATGATTTCCATATCAATGTATTGTACATGCAATACAATGTGGTGTAACAGAGAATAATATAAAAGCACATTCGCAGGCCAGAGTCATTGCAGTACAGTGCTTCTCAGAAGTAGCGGATAAACCTTAAAATCGTTGGCAAAAATATGTCAGAAGTACTTCGAGTACTTAGATTTTCTATTTTCAAAATGTCATTTGGTTATGTAAAGTAATACTGAAGCAGTTCGATTTCAATGAAGCTTCTGATCCTGATGATCCTGTATTCGTGGAAAATTCGTCAATGAACTCACACCAGCATTCTGTGAGCTGCTCAACATATCTCATGGAGAAGGGGGTTTTCTTTTTTGTTGGCAGACCGCTATCAGGGACATCTAAAATCATACTTTTAATCAACATATCATCAAATATTTAAAATGCTTCAACATTTTGATATCAATGAACGGCGTCCTTCTTGGAATCCATCTAACTTTGTCCATTCCTTCCAAGTCTCTGAAAAATACTGCAGTTTCATGTGCTTACTGCGACTTTTTCTCCAAGTTTCATCTATTCACTCCACCAATCTCGTTTCCTGTAGTAATTTGTACAGGTCTATTGTTGTTTATTTGTCATATTCTTCTAGACATATGATAGGTTGCTTAAAGATTGCTTGCCTCTTGTAGTCCGGTTTCTCACAATATGACAACTGTTTTGAATGTTTCCGGATATATTTCTCCAGTACTCTCTATAGACCAACTTCCTCATCTGGTTCCATACCAATGTTTTTAGTATTCCACCTTAGTCTATCAGCGATGCGACGACGTAATGTCAGCATGGCCAACACGTAGCGTACGGAGCGAAAGGAGATTACGGTAGCTGATTCCTCGACAATTTTAATATTAAGACCTGATTGGGAAAGAACCCCCATGTACAACTCCTAGGCAATATACCTAGTATATTTGAGTATTCTGGTGTTCCCTTCATGGTGTTTCCCTTATGAGACTACACCTGAACAACCTCCAACACCCATAGTTGTGACAATATATTTCCGACCGCCAGTTATCCCAGTTTTCAAACCAGTCTCTATGTCATTTTTGGTATCATTAACCCCATCGAGCCAGCCTAGTATCGCTGAGGAGATCCACATCATATCGAACGTTATATTGATGAAAAGTGAGGCCTTTGAGTATAGAACAGAGCGAAGATCGAGTATGCATTGAGAAGAAACTTAACAGAAATAGGACCAGCGGTACATATTTGAAGATAAGCTTGTGACGACTAACGCTAAGTGTAATCATGAACAACACGCAGAAAACCTAAACATTTCGTAAAATCTGCATCAATTATTTTGCGTCTTCTAGGTGTATTTCAACTAACTTTGCGTGCATAGATCATAAGTGGTTAGGATTACTGAAAACAGAGTGAACTGGATACTTACCCTGACATATGTTGAACTTTCGAAAATGCCATCTTGGCACTTGGTTTTCTTTCAATCGTGTGTGGTTTGAGGTTTTGCTAGTCAAACTTCGATGCTATGGCTTGTCGAATCATTTTTGAGTATAGTTCTCTAAATTCCTGAAAGAACGTTCCCTGCAAGTGACCGTCGATGGATGTCTCTCGAATACTTTCACCATCAACGCTGGTATTCCCCAGGGATCCATATTGTCTCCAACCTACTTTTTATTGTACAACAACGACTTATTGGAAAGAACCAAGAATCCAAAATAATGCTTTGCTGACGACAGCACACTTGTCTTTTGTCATTCCATTTGGATTCCAGGACATCGGCTGCGGATGCACATCTTCACTGTAACCAGGGGGTTGCATATCTTGATGAAGATCCAGAGATGATTTCGAATTGGGGTTAAATTCGGTGCCACGAAAACCTAGACATCAGTTTTCTCCAAAAAGATATAATAATGTAAGGATAGACAATTCCGCTTTCTACTTCGATAAGTTTGTTGGGGGGTTGAAATGGACACCAATATGTCTTGGAACAATCATTTCGCTGGAATTGCAAAGGCTGCTTCTCAAAAGCTTGGAACACTGTTCCGAACCTGAAAACTATACACACCTCAACAAGTGTTGATGCTCAGATGAGACTTTCTTTGGAGTGTTGTTCTCATTTATGGAGCTTCACCCCTAAGCATACCCTGAAGCTACTGGATTCCATCCAGGAAAATAAAGTCGCCTGATTGGAGACACGAACATCACTTTCAACCTTGATAGTTTGGAACATCGAAGAAGGGTTGGAGATTTGTCTCTTTTTCATAGATACTTTCACGCACGCAAGTGACTTGAAACATTTGATTCCACCAAGAGCGTTACATATCAGAAATACGCGACGGACTGTGGCTGTCTTGTTTTGAGATTCAACTCAGTACACTTCGAACTTCACTGTTTAAGAACTTTTTCATTTGGAGAACTGCGTTGATGTGAAATAAACTTCCTGAGAACTTTTTTCCAAATGAATTTAATTTCTAGCGTCAAATCCAACGTAAATCGCTACTTTCTCACAGGCACCGCTCTTAGAGCGCTTCAAGGTTTTTCATGTAGTGCTTGTGTTCTGTTTAAAAAAAAAGAAATAGCTATAAATAAAGTTTTGTGACATTTCACTGCACTTGCGCGGATCCTCCATTGATTTTGATATATTTTTTGGAAGATTATAAATTCAACTAACACATTGTTTTTTGTACAATAAAGTTAAAATTTGAAATGAATTTCTAAACAGACTGCATTAATTTCAGAAAGTGGTTGTTGGTAACAAATCGAACATTTATTGAGATAACTAGGATTGGGCTAGAAATGATCATTCTTCATGTACATTTTTTCCGACCTTTATATGTTTTTCTGTTGGAAAATAAAGAGGGGGAAAATTTCACGTTTGCTCTGTATTATTTGCGAATTACAATGTATAAATCCAGTAGAGTCAAATTTTAGTTCCTCGATTGGATTTCAGTGTGAGAAAAGCTGATGTAGGATGTTCTTTCACAAATTCCGATCCGAAACGAGTACAACAAATCGAAATATGGATACTATGCAACTTTTTTTTTCAGGTAGCCCTTGGCATGTGAACATCATGTCCAACAACGCCAACCTGTCCGTCTTAGGGGAGTCCACAAGGCTGGTACCAGCCAACACCCCTACCGTTTTCGAAATCATCACCACCACAAATACGGCTCCCGCGGATCTTTCCGTACAGGTCATTTCCCCCAGCAAAAGGGTAGTACCGGCGAGGGTACAACCGGGCAACCGTACCGGTGTGCAAAGCGTCGAATTCGTACCGACGGAAGTTGGTACTCATGTAGTTGAAGTTTCCGTTAACGGGGAGAAACTTCCCTCCGGACCCTTGGTCGCGAAAGTTTATGATGCCGGGTTGATACAGGTGGCTGATGTCGGTGGGGGTGTTATTGGTCAGCCGGTTCAGTTCAGAGGTAGGTGGTTTTAGTTTTATTGTTCCGTTTGTGTTTTGGAAGAATTTGTTTTAAGGAGTGATTTGCTTGTGCCCCGCGTTGGGCGCCATCTACAAAAATTTCACAGTTTTGAAAATATTGGTTTCGAATAAACTTTCATTTATTAGTATTATTGGAACTTTGCGTGTTGATTACTGCTGTGAAAAGATTTCTCAACAATTGATAGCTACTTACTACTGAACAATTCCTTTCTGTTTTATCACCGCGTCGTCTAAATCTGCATGACAAAACCTTGAAGCTCTGTATTTCAAAAGATGACTCTAGGAATACATCAAGTATGCTACATCAATTGAAGTATGCAGGAATATATAGGGTGTCCCATTGAAAAGTAGTTTTCCATCAATAACTATTGATATCTCATTTGAAAAAATAACCATTGAATTCTACATAAAAAAGTGCTTTGGCAATGTCCCCATAGAAACAAGAAATTTTTGACAGAAAAGAAGTTACAGCAACTTTTCAAAAATGCATATTTTCAAAAAAACATGCTCTAACTCAGAGACGACAATAGATATCGATATGCTGTTCTCACCATTGAGTTTGTCATAAAATTTGACTCCCAGACACAGCCATCAGTTTTCATCTATCTATCTATACAAAATATACAGAGTGGACCACCTTAGAATAATTATTTATTGCGATATGGAGCTACAAAAACACATGACATTGAAACGGGCAAAACTTTGGAAACAACTCAATAATACCATTGTAACTGCTATATTTGCACAAGCATAAACATTTATAAAGAGCAAAAATATTCAGAAAGGTTATATTTATATGTATCTCTTCTAAACAATTTATCGGATTGTGACCTTTTTTATGGCTCACATTTACGTCGCTCAATTACTTCAATGATTTTCTAAATATGAACTAATGCATTTAAATGTGAAGGCCTAGCTTGTTGATACGTATTATCAATTTTTTACTATTTTTATATTTACAGGAATTTACAGGACATCGATTTATCGATAGAAAAATGAGTAGTATGTAAAACATTTGTTCCAAAAAATGTAAACATATGTTACCAACTATTTTTATTCTCATGTGTAGTTTTGTGTACAAAAATGCAGTACAATATGTCAATAATATAAGCACTCTTGTCTGACAATAATTATATTGAACTTTCTCCACGGCAATTAATTTTAAAACTTTTAATTTAATGTGGGCTGCTGAGCATGAACACCCATTTCATCCTCAAATTCATGGAATCATTACACCGGCACCGGCAAAAGATTTTCACATCCAGTTCAGTTCTCGACACGTTTGTCTCAATTTAAGTTAGTTCAACTGCGGTTCCAGACCCTGTGAACAATCGACAAGGTAATTATCGATGATTTTTTCAATTGTCTTAACGAGGAGAATAATGTTACGCTTAATGAAACAGATTTCGTTAAGGTCAGAGTAATTGTTGACTTACCTTGAATTATTCTAGAGAAAGCAGTATGGCGACAAACATGTGAATAGAGGTTCTCGTATGAAGTGGTGTATATTCAAATAATGATAATAATGATAATAATAATGTACTTCATTGTCATAAAGGATAAATCTTGTGGACAGAGCTTTTGAAAAATAAATAAAGTTGCACATGCCTGCCAAATTTCAATTTTTTACTCCTTGTCCTTTAAAAGATATTTAACAAACACTATCTAATTCAAAAAATTAATTCAATTCAATAGTCTTTCTTTAACAAGTGTTCAAAATGTTGTCCATTCACTAACTGACAATACTCTAAACGAAACTGAATCTCGTTTTGAACATTTCTAATTACTTCGCCGGAAATTAGCCTGCACTCCTATCTTATTCGTTCTTTCAAATCCTCAATATTTGCCGGTTTGATCTTAAAAATTTTGCTCTTCAAGTAACCCCATAAGAAAAAGTCCAAAGGTGTTAAATCCGGAGACCTAGGTGGCCATTCATAGGGTCCTCTTCTGCCAATCCATCTGCCTGGAAATATATCATTCAGGTACTCACGTACAGGTCTTGCAAAATGAGGAGGCGCGCCGTCCTGTTGAAACTAGATGTTTCTATTCGGGACGTCAGCTTCTATAAGACAATGGAACAAAATAGCCAAATTCGGAACTAGGTCCTCTTGCAAGAATTCTAAATATCTTGCTCCAGTAAGATTTTCTTGGAAGAAAAACGGTCCTATAACTCGATCACCAACAATCCCTGCCCAAACATAGACTTTTCTTGATGTTGAGTGTGGCCTTCGCTTATCCAGTGTGGGTTTCTGTCTGCCCAATAACGACAATTTTGACGATTCACCACACCATTCACGTTGATTCGTCAGAAAATAGAACGTTTTCTTTTTGTACAACATTCCTGTCTAGTAGATCCATCATTTGTTCGCAAAACTGGAGTTTTCTACCTGGATCATCTTCGGTGAGTTCCTGGAGGATTGTTATTTTATATGGATGAAATTTTTCAGCTTTAAGAACTCGTGCCACTGAAGACTGGCTAATTTCGAGTTCCCTAGCTATCTGCCTAGTGGGGGCATGGGGATTTTCTTCGACAGAAAGAAGAACATTTATTTTAACCTCCTCATTGACCGCACTACGACGATGATTATTTGTTTTTCTTAAATGCCTATTTTCCCGGAACTGTTTTTCGATCTTGCTTACGGTACTTCGCGATATGGGTGGTGAATCAGGATACTTCTCTCTGAATGAATGGGTAACTTCATTTTGTGTTCTTGTCCTATTTCCGTAGCCAATCATCATTAGAATTTCAATCTTATGTGTTTCAGTTAAGTACGGCATTTTACTAATGGCGAACAACAAACTGTGAAACGACTAACTGTTTTTGTGCACAAATATGATTGGAATGCGATACTACTTGCCTTACTTTTTTTTGATAACTTTTTTATGACAATGTCACTGTCAGGTATCCCTGACATTCTAAGCATTTATTGAAGGAAGACTATTGAATTGAATTCATTTTTTGAATTAGATAATGTTTGTTGAATATGTTTCAAAGGACAAGGAGTAAAAAATTGAAATTTGGCAGGCATGTGCAACTTGTTGAACCTTTTAATAAAAGTCATTGAAAAAATAGGGTTGTCATTTAAAAAAATTATCAATGACGTCATATCTCATATTTGAGACACACTGTATATTTTTTTTCATTAAAATACTAATCGACGTGTCCGAGCATATTTCCGTCACCTTTGATTTAGTGAATTTGTTCCACGTTAGAGACTCGCACTGTATATACTTATATATAATATTACATAAATGAACACACCTATTACACCAGACGAACAAACATTTAGATCCCAGCAAGAATATAAGCAAAAATCTTATCCGAATAGGTTTATAGATACTAGTAGTAGCTAGTTGTATATTAATACGTTAATTCAAGCAGTAAGAATTGAAATGTCACAGTCACAGGCAAATGAGACAAATTTTATTATAAAATACCAACTCAGATCACTACGATAACTACGATTTACTCTGGTCAACAAGTGCCTTACACGTCATATTTCTTCTCTGCCTCCAAAAAACATGAACGAAGCGTGTAGGTGTAATATAAATTTTAATATCTACTCTCCTTCAGATGACCTGTTAAACTCAGACCTGGTGTTCATCTTCTTGATATCTTCGGGAATAACATATATGTATGGAAATATCATGTCTTAGTGTACAAATTTATTTTTAATTCAAATACATATTTCATATTTCCCCCATGTTCGAAAACAATATGTCCAGCTCAATGGTTTCAAATCTACCGAATATAGTGCTTCTCCAGTGTTTCGCAAGGATCAAATGTGGGACCGCTCTCTTCAATATCCCCACTAAAGATATTTAAGTCTAGAAACTGGTGGAATTTATCCAAAAAATTGGCACAACCCACTCTGAATTACTACAAAAGCATAACTTTTTCAGTCTCGAAAAAAGAAGTGAGCATAGTTGACTGCCCAACATTATTGGAAATGTTTAATATTTTCATTCCCAGAATCTGTTACAGACACCCGAGTACTTTTTATATAAAAACATCTCGCACAAATGTTCTGGAAAATACTCCGCTGCATACTATGTGTAAAGTGACAAATTTTGTTAGCGATTATCTAGATGTATTTAGTTGCAAGTTGTCAGATATAAAATCCCACTTTCTAAAATGATTGTTTTGTCACCTATTTCGAAATATAAAGTATGTATATGCTTAATAATCATACGAAAAGTTTGTGATGTATTCATCATATTCTGTAAATTCCTGCTCTGTAATTGGGCTTTGTCCTGTAGAGTATTGGAAAATAAATAAATATTCCTCAAACAGGCTAAAAATCTCAACATAATCTTTATCTTGATGTCCGAAACAAAAAACATCCTGAATGTGGTAGATTTACTTGTTGGATAGTGGAAAAAGGTGTGCTGAATCACGTTAGATCAGTTTCAATTGTTGATTAGTATTTTCGATTATTCTCTTATTGATTTATTTATTCAACAACAACAACAAAATTTATTTATCTTCAACATTCAAGTTACCATTATGGATAGATACATGAGAGGTAGATACATGTGACTAATCAACATCTTCATCTACTTATTACTGCTAACTACTGTTAGAACTGTTGAAATGTATGAATATTAACTTTACGCAAATGTCTCTTCCTCAAAGAGACAAATCTCTTCAACTCGATAGCAGATACACCAGTCGAAAGCATACCACTGATGTATGGCCGGCTATTAACATTACGTTGTTTTTTCTAAAGTGTTCGCCAATTCAAGGATAAAAACATTCAACTTTCAAGCAGCTTCAAAAACATAACCTTTCCTCTGAAATAATTGTATTTACAATTCCATCAACTGATTGTCTTCCAAAACACAGTAATACTAATAAACTCTTGAAAAATCGCTAATTCAATATTTCTCTTCCAGTTGATGCCAGTCAAGCCGGGGAAGGACAGCTGGAAATCTCAATAAATGAAGGAGAAGTCCCGAACCACGTCCAAGTCGTCGGCGGAGGCAGATGCCTCGTCTCCTTCACCCCAGACCAAGCAAAACCCCACCTAATCGACATCAAATTCAACGGAGAAACTGTTAGGGGATGCCCGTTTGTCTGCTCTGTTTCTGACACGAGCAGAGTTATTCTCTCCTTGTCCCACTTGGAACTCATTCCAGTGAACCAACCGAGCTCCTTCCACATGGGCGTGGCTGGTGGAGGAGCCGCGGAACTAGCTGTAGCAGTTAGAGGACCGATAGGCGAGTTGCCTGTGAAAGTCACGGGTGATATCCATTCCGGCTTCACAGCTGAGTTCACCCCCACTCAAGTGGGTGCCCATCAAATCAGCGTGGACTACAACGGTAGGCCTGTCCAAGGCACCCCGTTCATAGCCAAGGCCTTTGATTCTAACAAAGTGACCGTTGGAACGGTTGCCAGAGGCACCGTAGGCAGACCAGTGACTTTCTCCGTCGACGCCAGCGAAGCTGGCGAAGGAAACCTCGAGATAACCATCTCAGCCAGAGGGCTTAACATTCCTACGCAGGTCCACCCACAAGGCAACGCCAGGTTTGCGGTCAGCTTCGTACCTGCCGAAGCCTGCGACCATGTCGTGAACGTGGCTTTCAATAAGAGGCCTGTGGTCGGGTGTCCGCTCATTGTGAGTGTGGGGGGTAGTGGAACGGGACCCAGTGTGACGTTGCCGGGACCTGGACCAGTACACAGGGCTAGTACGTTGTTGATCAACCATCCCGGAAGACTTGAAGATATTGAAGTTAACGTTGAGGGTGAGGATAAGAGAAATTTTTGGTTTGTTCGTTGGTCTTGGGTTGTGTAGTTGCTTCGAGTATCAGGTTTGAATAAATGATACTAGAACCGTTATTATATGTTCGTGTTACTTTGTATAGTGTCGTTATTCTCTGGTACATACGTACTCGTTGCATAGATTGTTCAGTAAAAATCACATCTCAAATATGTTATGATATGCTCTAGAAATGCCGCATGCATTTAGCATGCCGTTCAGATCGTATATAACCTTATTCTAAGCCATGAGAAAAAGCGATACATTTCATTACTTCAAAAATATTTACCAATCAGACGCTCTTTTTCTACCCTCAATACATTTGAAAGAACATCAGTTTTATCTCTTGTTCATCACAACTGAAAGCTTTCTCCATTTTAGATTTCCGCGTTTTTGATAACGTGATATTAATATTACAATGACCCCTCAAATTATGACGAATATCTCAATCGATTAATATTTTGGACTATTTTCCTCTCTCTTCACTACTATGGCAAAAGTATTACTACTTTGTGCTTGTTGATAGAGGCTAATTTTGGATATGTTCAACTTTTGACAACAATTTCATGATGAACGTTTTACATCTGGTATCACCAACCAGTACGTGATAATAGTCAATAAAGATATACAGGGCCTTCCAACGAAAACTTGACCCCGTCAGAAACGGAGGTGTAATCGAAAATTTCAATGGACACGTCAATTTTTATTTCTAGGGGGACTAATTCTGATATGGAAATCATACCCGAAACTTCACCCCCCCCTCTGGTCAGCAACTACCACCCCCCTCCTATTTTTTTCAATTGCATGGAAAATCGAGTGATACATCATTTGGAAGGTCTTTTGTCCCTCTATTACTTTTGTATTTTTTTAAAATTGGTACATTTCTCATTGAGAAATTGAATGTGGAACGTTTTATTAAAGGAAAAACTGAAGATTCACTCTCGCTCATTTCATTGAGGAAATCGACAAAAGTAATATCAATGGCAACACAATCAACGGATAAAGTGTTCAAAATGACTTCCATCTAGCTCCATACATACAGTCTACTTTCGAAAGCGTTCCTTCCACTTCTTCACGAATTATTATTCAGTCGTCCTTATTCACTGTGTTCACTGAAGAAAGAGTAGAAATTGTTGCAACCTATTATCGAAATAATGAATGTGCTAAAGCTGCTGCAAGAATGTATAATACGAATCATCCAGACCACAACGTGAGCCATCAATGCGTTAAACAGTTAATGGATAAGTTTTGAACTCCAGGGTCTGTTCACAACAGAAAACATGAAGTATCCTGTCCTGTCAGAAATAACGGAGTTGAAATTGCAGCTTTAGGAAATGTACAAATGGATAATCAACAATCTATCACACAAGTAGCTAGAGCGTCTGGTATATCAGCTACTATTGTTTTTCGGATTTTGAAAGCCAACAAATTTCACCCTTTCAAAACAAGGCTAGTTCAGGAATTAAACGAAGATGATCCTGATCGCCGACTTCAGTTTTGTGAGGTGTTCAGCGAGAAATTGACCAATAACACAAACCTATTATACAATACATTTTTTTATTTAGACGAAAGTTCTTTCATGTTGAATGATGAAGTGAATAGACATAATTGTCGTTACTGTAGCGATGTGAATCCCCATTTGGTGATGGAAACACATTTACAAACTCCACAAAAATTGAATGTCTGATCCGGCATTCTTGGTTATCATATTGTTCGACCAGTCTTCATTGAAGGTAATCTCAATGTAGACACATACTTAAATCTATCACAAGACTGTGTAGATCCTATGCTTACACAAATTTTAGAAAATGATGAAAATTCAGTAGAAGATGAAATAACATTCCAGCAGGATGGTGCACCCCCACATTTTGATGTTGGGGTGAGACAGTTTTTAAACGAACGATTCCCAATGCGTTGGATCTGCAGGAGAGGTCCAGTGGAGTGGCCAGCTAGATCACCTGATCTCACACCGATGGACTTCTTTCTGTGGGGACACCTGGAGTCGAAAATGTACTCTACTAAGCCTACAAATCAATGAGCGGATCAATATTTTAACAGACAGCAAGAGCGCACTAGAGGCTCTGACAACCCCGAAGGTGACATCAAAACTGGTCTGGGAATGCCATGAAGAACTGAATGAACAGGAACAAATAAGTTTTGTACTGGGTACCAGGGCATTCAGGAATAACAGGTAATGATAAAGCTGATGAATGCGCTAGACACGGATCATCAACTTCATATATAGATCCTGAACCAGCTCTTGGGGACATGGATCAATGAGAAGCACACAGAGTACTGGACAAAAGTACCTGGCAACAAGCACAGTAGAACCTTCATTAGGGAACCGTCCGAGAAAAGAACCAAAGAACTATTTCAATGTAGTAGGGATCGGCTCAGAATAATTACAGGGTCACTGTCTGCTTAGAGGACACGTGAATAAAATGGGGCTGTACAACGGAGACCTCAGCTGAAGATTATGCAACGAAGGGATAGAAAAGCTCTACACATCTCATGCGATTGTGAGGCACTGAATCACAGGAGGCAGGCAATATATGGACGTACACAATTACGTCCAGAAGAATATGACGAACACCCAACACGGAACCTGTACAAACAAGTACAGGAAACAAGACATGGAATGGGCGCCATGAGAAGATGGGAGAATAAACGCAATAAGCACTGCAGTGTTTTCTGGAGACTTGGACTAAATGGACAAGTCAGACAGCTCCCAAGGAACCAAAAAAATACTACAAATCCAGAAGACCTGCGACAAAGAATTGTTTGGGAATGCCGATTACTGACTCCGGACATCTTGAATAATGTACGGAACGCTTTCGAGAGTAGACTGTATTATTGTTTAGATATAGGTGGAGGCAATTTTGAACAATTTAGCCGTTGATTTTGTTTTCACTGATATTATTTGTTGTTGATTTCCTCATTAAAATGAATAATAGCGAATTTTCTTTTCTTTCTTGAATAAAACTTTCAACATTTAATTTCTCAATAACGAATGAACCAATTTCAAAAAAATTACAGACGTAATAGAGAGACACAAGACCTTTCCAATGATGTATCACCCGGCACCTCATGTCGTTGAAAAAATAGGGGGAGTTTTTACTAACAGAATATCAAAATTAGTCCTCCTAGAAATAAAAATTGACGTGTTTTTTGAAATTTTCGATTACACATCCTTTTCTGACTTACAGGGGGGGTCAAGTTTTCGTTGGAATGCCCTGTATAAGACAACATTCTGGCAAACCATGATGGAAGGTGTTTCGATGGACCAAGTTCTTTGGTACTGTTAAAAAAGACTTCCTCAACATTGCCATCGGTTGTTGATGTGCTCAGCCTGGACGCCCCAGTCCAGGCTGAGCGTTGTCATTCACATTTTCTCGACCTTCTGTAAAAAGCTTCTAAACATTTCTTTGACTCAGAGCACAATCACCGTATGCCACTGTTAACATTGCAAGTGTTTTTGAGCACTCAATTCTATTTTTTGAAACAAAGTTTGATGCAAATTCGTTGATCCATGTTTTCGTTAGCAGAACATCGCTGAACACGCTGAACTTTTATACCTCTCACCAACAACAAACTATATTTCGATTCTTTATTCAAACCTGATAGCTTTGAAATTTTTTGTTTTATTTTTGTGATAATTGTACATATAACTCTCGATTTAGTTAAGCATTTGTGACGTCAATTGATCGTTTGTATACCTATTTCTATAAAAAATATTGTGTATGATCTATGTGAAATTGCATTATGTATATCCACCACTCATATTTGTACAAAATATAGCATGCTTATTCTTTCTCTCTATGTTTTTGTTTTCCTCTGTGGAGTTTACTGTCTGCACAACTTTTCATTTTCAGGTCACCGACGTTACGTGTACTAGACTAGTTTTGACCTCAGTTATATTCTTTTACTAACACTTTCCCTCATTCCTTATTCAATCACTACATTTTCATTGTCATTTCTCATGAACTTATACAAATTCTGAACAAAATGGCTTAGTTCGACTTGTTCGAAAACATGAACAAAAACAACTGAAACGCCACTTAATGTATTAACCTCAAAATTGTCATTCAACCGAGTATTGAACAAATTCGAAACTTCAAAATCCGTTGAAAACTGTATTTTGATTTTAATTGAATACATATTTGGTAGTTATAACAATTTAAACTTATGTGAATACTTCAAGAACCATACTGTAGGTGAGAATCATCATGTCTGACAAAAACAATACAGAAATTGAAATTTTAATAACAATCAGAGCAAATGACAAATAATGTGAATATATTTTATGTCGATTTTAATTTTAATTTAATACATATTTGGTAGTTATAACGATTTAAACTTATGTAAATGCTTTAAGAACCATACTGTAGGTGAGAATCATAATGTAATGAGCTACTGACCAAAAAAAAATAAAGAAATTCAAATTTTTCTAACGATCAAAGTAAATGACAAATAATGTGAATATATTTAATGTGGATTTCCAGAAATGTTTGTACTTGGAAATATTTTTTGGAAAGCAAGGTCGAAAGATTACAAGAAATAGCAAATGCAATATATACGAGGGTGATCCCAGAATTAAACACAAACATTTTGGAAAAAAACGTATTTATTTTTCAACCTAATCACCTTGCACCTCTATAAACTTTTCGCAGCGATGTCCAATAAGTTCTATACTGTGTTTATAATAAGAGCTGTCTTGCTCCTCAAAGTAGCCATTAACTGCCGCCGTCGTTTCTTCATCGTTGGAAAATCTTTGACCACCGAGCCATTTTTTCAAGTTTGGGAACAAAAAATAATCCGAGGGGGCTAAATCTGGCGAAAAGGGTGCATAAGGTAGCAATTCAAACTTCAATTCGTTAATTTTGGTCATTGTGATATTGGATTTGTGAGCTGGTGCATTGTCTTGATGAAACAACTCCGTTTTCTTAGCCAAATGCCGACTGTTTTTGCTTGATTTCTTCACACAAT